ACAAGGAAAGGATTGAAGACGTCCGCATGCAGTGTGGGCGTCAAGGCAGAGTTCTTCCCAGGTAGGGGAAGGAGGTAGGAGAGCAAAGCTTTCACGGCTCTGAGGTGAAACCGAGGCTGCTCAGAGTCTGGCCTCTCTCAGGACTCGAACTGGAGCCTATGGGCCAGACCTTTATTTCTGTGACTGAGCTGCCACTTGTTTTTGTAAGTGCAGTTTTCCTGGAGCACGACTGTGCCCCTTCATCTAAGCATCACCCACAGTGGCTCTCACGCTACCGAGCAGAGCCGAGTAGCCATGGCAAAGACCCTGTGGCCTTCAGACCTAAAACCACGGCCAGCTTCATGGGTGTGCATCCCCATCCTGGGCTCAGGAGACACCACATCTTACAATTTTTAAATCATTTTTTCTTTTTCTTTTTAGAAAGATTTTTGCTATTGGACATATGTGCTCACCAGAGAGACAGAGAGACAAAAAGCGAGAAGTCACCCCCAAGGGAGGATGGCCACATAATCCCTTCTCCTCCATTCTCCTCTCAGGATCTTGGGCACACACGCACACATACCCAGCGTGAGCTTTAAGCTGCTGGGTCTGGGATTCGAGCTGTGCTCAATTGCATGGGAGTCCCGTAACGTAATTATTACATCTGCTGGTCCCTTAAATCATTTTTCACAAAGGGCCCTCCATTTTTGTTCTGCCATGGGCCCCACCGATTATATAGCCGGTCCTAGCACATTTCCTACCAAGCCCTATAGCTTGCCTGGCCCTCTGCTTTCTCATCACTGGCTTCCCTTTCACTCTCTGCCTTAGTGCTTCCGGCCCCAGGAAGCCTAGCTTTCCTGAAGCAGTTGATTATGACACCTCTGGAAAACCATGAGTCAGTTCTTCCTCATATCCCTAGCAGCAAATCTATCCACTATCACTACGAAGGGGGCCTACTGTGAGCCAGGCACTGGGTTGAGTGAAGCCAAAATCTGCCACTAATTTGCCAGTCCTTGGGACCACTCAGAATAAGTCTCATTGTCCTTTAAGTCTTCAGAGACATGACTAAAGTTCTTCTGTCTCTCCTCCTGTGTTTTCTCTTTTCTAACCGTGAATTATTCTGTTTCTCCAAGCCATGTTTCAAGCTCCTGAATCTTCTCATTCACCCTTAGATGATGCAGTTTCTAAAGATCCCTTTTAAAGCATGGAGCCCAAACAAGGCCCTGAGTGTGGTCTGATCAGGGCAGAGTTGGGTAGACCAGTTACCTCCATCATTCTAGCGGGTATAGCTCTATTAGTATACCCTGAGATCACATTGCCCTTACTAGAAACAATTCAGAAAACTCTAAAATCTCTGACGTAGGAAGAGATGGCACTGTTAGGCTCATTATATAGATGAATAGCTGCTCTTCTGTCTCCAAATCTCAAGCTCGCCCCTCCATCAAGATTTTTTGGGCCCTCAGTTTCTTCGTCTGTAAAATGAAGAATGTGAATCTCTTCCAGCACTAGCTTGCTGTGATCTGTCTTCTAAATACGAATCTTTTTTTTTTTTTTTGGAGAGATTTTCACTATAGGGCGCGTGCACTCACCAGACAAACAGAGAGAGACATAGAGACAGAAAGTGAGAAATCACCCCCCAGGGGGGATGGCCACGCTGCAATCCCTTCTCCTCCATTCTCCTCTTGGGATCTTGGGCACACACGCACAGGCGCCCGGCGTGAGTTTTAAGCCACCGGGTCCAGGACGCGAACTGCGGTCGACTACGTGGGAGTCCAGCGACATAGCCATTACGCTAACTGCTGGTTCCCCTAAATACGAATCTTAACATCTCAGTCATTGGGGCTAGCAGGTGGCATGGTGGTTAAGGCTCTGGACTCCCACGTGGCTAACTGCAGTTCGAGTCCTGGACCTGGCAGCTTACCTTCTCAATTTTCCCTCTCTCTCTCTTTCTCTCTCTGTCTCTGATCAAATTAAATAATAATAATAAATAAAATTATATCGTTATTTAAATTAAAAAAATAAAACAGTCATGGGATCAGTGCAGAGATGTGGTGGCTAAGGTGACTGAATCGCTCATGGCCAACTTTGTGGTTCAAGTCCCAGAGCCAACAGCTTGCAAAACACACGGTACACATGTGTACGTGTATTCAAGATCCTGAAAGGAAGAAGAAATAGAGGAGGAAGAATGTCGGAAGTGGCCATGCCCCATTGGGGGTGCTTTCTTCCTCTCTCTGTCCTTCTCTGGCAAGTGCGTCTGCCCTCTGGCAAACTAAAAACAAAACAAACAAAACAAAAACGAACAACAACAACAACAACAAAAACAAGAGAAGAAAATTGAAGCTTTCTACTTAAATCTAAAGTTCCTTGGAAAAACAAAAGCTGTTTCTTTTCTGCTAATCATTCTTGGCCTACCTTCCTTGGGAATATCTGCATCAGCGAGAGGCCTCACTGGTTACTGGTGGACCCAGATTTGACAGCTCGCTGAGTCTTCAGGCCCAGGCCTGAGTCAGCTTCTATAACCCTTCCCTTCCCATTATCTCCCCTTTTCATACTCCACAAACTCATGTCTTCCTGCACATCCCATTTTCAAGATCATTTTCTCTGTATCCTCTAGCAAGCCAAACAACAACAGAATGCCTTTAAAATAAGAACGCAGAGTCCCCCATAACCCCAGATACAAAATGGGCTCCCGAAAGCCTCTCTCCCTCCTCGGCTGTGTTCTCTTCTTAGACTCATGGCCCCAGGGTTGACTTGAAAGCCTCATCTTTCAGTATGTTCTCAGTAACACTTTCTGCATGGGTACATGGGCCCTCTGGGGCCCCGTTAGGCTTTGTACTGTGTGTGAACCACAAAATCACACACAAGGACCCTGGGCAGGTACTAGGCACAGAAAGGGTGAGTGGCTGATTCAGGTCACAAAGCTGGTGAATGATGGGACCAGAAAAAAGCCGACAGTTTTGTCTTAAATGCTCTTTCCGCTAGCATCGAGGAATAGGATTGTTGGGATGAAACAAGAGCTAGCCACATCTCTGCCCCAGACGTCGGCTCTCTCCACTCTGTCTTTCTGACCCCATCCACCCCTCTGGCCCGACCCTGGTGCCCTTCCTTCTTCTTCAATCCTGAATGCATATCAACTGCCTCACCCCCTCGGCCTGGTGTTGATCACCAGCTGGAGGTAGCACCCCTTCCACACGACAAGCCCGATTCTGCACACCAAGGGCGCCTTAGCACGGTGCTGGCACCCGGTAAGTCTCAACATGAGGCAGTGACTGGAGCTGTGATGGCTCATTGTTCTAGTTACCGTGGCTGGGAATTCAGTGACTTAAAACAATCATTATACTCCTACTCTGTGGGTCAGATGTCAGGGCGCGGCGAGAACAGCGGTGTTCTCCCATGACATCCAAGTTTCAGCCAGGAGCCACGACGGTCAGGGCTGACTTGAGGTCTGGAGGCTGAAACCATCCTCCTTCACGCTCATGTGTGCCGGTGACGTTGGCTGACGGTGGAGCCTCGATTCCTCTCCTTGCAGTCTCTCCACCTGGGCTCCTTTGGGCTTCCTCACAATATGGCCGCTGGGCTCCAAAGGCAAGAGTCTGGAGAGGAGAGAGCCTGGGAAAGGAGCATCCATGCTGTCCTAACCTGAGAGCAGAGATGCAGTCGTTGTTGCAAAAGGCCACCCCTCCACCTACCCCTACCACCCCAATCCACCCCACCCCGCCACCATCAGTATAGCCTTATTACCATCGCTTTCCCGTTAGGCATATTCTCTTCCACCCGGCTCCTCCATCCCTTGTGACAACACTGCCACTGGCTGGCCTGCCTTGTCACCAGACGTATCTGATGTGGCAGTGACCACAGCTCCAGTTCAGACTCAGGTCTCTGCCATGTTCCACGTGAACACAAAGAGCCACGGTCCTTCTTTACCCCAATCTCAGCAGGAGGAGAGACACAGTTCTAGGACCCCAGGAGATCCTGGAGACCCAGGCGAGGGGAATGAAAAAACACAAAGCAAAACAGTTAACACCTAAAAGACTTAGTGACAGGACTTTCTAGTTGGCTGCCTTTTATCTCTGCCTTTTACCGCTGTGGGGGGCTGACTTCGGTTTCTGCTAAGAATCTGTTATTTCATCTTCCTTGGCGAGTGGGGCGGCCGATGAGATAGTAACAGAAATCGTTGCCTAGGCTTTTGCGGGGAGAAAAAGCGGCCCTGGTCCCTGGGGATCGGAGTGTTCATCCTTCATGCTGCTGGGGCCTCAAGTGACAGCTGAGTCAGAAGAGGGCACAGGAAAACGGAGCGGGGCATCTAAGAGTCGCAGCCCCACTGATGTGTGTGACGTGTCTGCGCCTGAGAACGTCCTGGGAGCTGTCCGGGGGGCGGGGGAGAGGGCAGTGTAAATGCGGACTTTGCGTCCCTTCCCCGCACACCGTGATGAAGACAGCAGAGGAAGGCAACCTGGTCAGTGGTCTCCTCCCCGATCTGGTCCCCAGACCTGTCCCCAGACCTGTCCCAGACCTGCACCAGACTCCAGTATGTCAACACCCCCTCCAAAGAAAACCCCCCAGATGGGCTCCAGGCCACCGAACAGCAGGAAAAGGGACTGACAATCAGCTCAGCGAGAACCCCTGCAGAAAGCATCTTCCCTTTCCAAGCCCGGGGCGGACATGAGCCCAACTCCTCCTCTCCACTAGGAGGCAGCACCTAGACATTACTGTCACGCTCCCATTGTACAGGTGGGGACATGGTGGCCCAGAGCCCTGAAGTGCGCTCAAGGTCGCAAGAGGCAGAATGGAACCATCCCTACCTCCTTTCTTGGGCAGCCCCTTCCCGAAGGACCCCAAGCTCTGATGTCGGTGGCGCCAACTCCAGGGACCGCCTTGCAACAGCCGAGCACGGGGAATGCCAGGCCCGGTGGCAGGCGGCGGATGCCAGGACAGCGGCTCTCGCGTGAGGGCCAGCGTGCGGCCACAGCCCCCTTTAAGGAGTGCTCTGGGCCTTCCAGAAGAGCTGCAGTCTTAATTTTAGCTTGGAGGCCTGCCACGGGAGGCTTTAGCGCGAGGCAGCCTGGAGTTATGTGGGACAGCTGTCAGCCGGCATGCTGGGTGGGGCCTATTTAGCCCGGCAGGGGCGCAGGTCTGGGGACACTGAGCTAGTCTCTCCCCCCAGCATTTTCAGCCCCGCTGGCCGCTCGGTTCCAGGATGATGACCGAAGAACACACAGACCTGGAGGCACAGATCGTCAAGGACATTCACTTTAAGGAGATCGACCTGGTGAACCGGGACCCCAAGAATATTAACGAGGACATAGTTAAGGTAGGCTCTGGGGCCTGCCGTGCCTGCGGGGGTCAGGTTTGCAAGTATGTGGGTGCTGGACAGGAGGGTTTGCTCCAAGCACGGCCAGCTTCCCTGCACAGAGTAGGTGCGCTACTCCAAACTCCCCCCACAAGGCTTGTAACCGCCCCAAAGAACCTTTACCATAAACAAGAGCAAAACATCCACCGCATAGACTCGGCTCCGGTGCCGATGAGCAGGAGGCAAACCACAACGAAAATGCCTTCTTGTGACTCTCAGACTCCTGCCACTCGCTCCTGGCTTCCTTCCCAGGAGGAGCAGGGATGGGTCGCCAAGTTGGGCTCTTTTCGTGCCAGGGGACACTTCCGCAGCGTCCACCATGGGCCTGGGGTTAATCCCTAGAGGGTGGCTTCCAGCAGGGGCACCCACTCCCCCAGAGCCCTGTCCAGTGTCTGTCCCCTAAAGCAGGAGGCCATGCCCAGTCTGTACCCCAGCTCCGCAGCTTACCCCAGATCTGGTGACCAGGATAAGACACAGGCCTCTCAGATAGTGCCTGGTTCTGGCCTCAGGGAGTCTCCCCATGGCCAGTGCCTGACACGGGCCTCTTTCCTCGCCCGGTGACACTAATGGCCTGGCTATGTCCAGGCCCACACCCCCAATCCAGCCTTCACCTGGTAGCTGGAGGGATCTTTCTAAAGCAAAGTCCTTAGAGCAGGGTCCCCAGAGACCAGTATCAGAGTCACTGAAGAGGCTATTAAAGGGGCAGGTGCCTGCCCACCCCCAGCCCCCGAGTCCTGCCAATTACACTGGAATCTCAGAGCAGTGTCACCCAACAGAAGCGAATGCAACCCAACACACAAGTCCCTGATGGGATTTACATTTTCTAACAGCCACATTTAAAAAAGGAAAAGCAGGTCAAATGAATTCGTACGAGGATTTTCTAATTAATACGTAACCCTGTATGTCCAAACTGGTACCACGGACCATGGAGGATCCTATAAAACAGGTACCCACAAACTACTGTGCCAGTTTTTCTCACTCTCAAAATCCAATCTGGGTTGGAAATCTCAGTTCCAACTCTGAATGTTCGACGAGACGACCTGCCCCATACGCTTCATATTTAGAGGTCAGAGTTACAGGCTGGAAATAAATTCACGTACCTAAATTGTTGCACACATTCTTAAACATTTCTCCATCATGGAATCGGATGTCAGTTTTTTCTTCTTTAAAACTGAACACAATTTAGAACTCCTCGGTTGCACTAGCCACATGTCAAGGGCTCAAAGCTGGCAGCCACTGGGTTAGACAGCATGGTAAGGGCTCGTTCTTTTGGTTTTTAAGGTTTTTGCCATAGGGCACGTGCACTTGCCAGAGAGAGACAGAGACAATGAGAGAGAAAGTGAGAAATTGTGGCCATGCATGCACATGCACCCAGCATGATTTTTCAATCCACTAGGTCCAGGACTAAAACTGAGTTGGCCATGTGGGCGGCCGGCACCTTAACCACTATGCCACCTCTGGCCCCAGGAAAGGCTTATTCTAAAGCACAGCCCTGCTGCCGTCCTTCTGCAGGGCACCTCCTGGCTGGATAAAGTCTCACCTCTCCATGGGACTTCCCAAACCCAGCACAATCTGCCCTCAACCTGTGTCTTCTGCCTGGTATGTTCCCCACTGCTAGCTCACCCCCTAGAATATACCCGCGTGCTTTTGCCAGGTGTGTCCATCTCCTTTCCTCCACGTGGCAAATGCCCCACTCAGCCTTCAAGGCCCAACTTAAATGTCACCTCCTCCAGGAAGCCTTCCCTGACTCCTTCAGGCCACGCATTGCTCCCTTGTCTGTGCTCCCCTTCATGGGGAGAAAATCCTCCGTCACAGCTCAGATAACACTGTCTGTTACATGTATTTGAATCATCAGTGGTGGAAATAGGGTCTACATTATAGCTCAGTGTGACAAACTGCAGTGGGGATGATCAGAGAGCAAATTGCAAACTCTCTTTATAGCTTGCATGGTTTAAATACACTGGAGAAGTGTAAATTGTGATAAGTCGTGGTCTTTCACCGTGGGGTCTCGCAGGACTAATCCCAAACCTGACTTTCACAGAATTCACCTTCAAGTCCAGGCTCTTCTACCTAAAAATGGACACTGGACCAAAAGCTTAGGTTGCCTGAGTCTCAGTTTTCCCCATAAATGAATCTTGAAGCATTGCTATGCAGAAGAAATACAAGGTGAAGAGTAAGAGATAAGGGGCTTGAAAGGGGCTAGCACAGAGCAAGGTTGTGACAAACGTGAGCTGAACACAAGCCTCAAGGACCTGGCAGTCTAGAGGACAAGAGGGTGAAGCTATGGGCCAGACCGACATCCAGGTCACCCTCTAGGGTCCCTGGTAAGCTGCTGGGGGTTAGAAGAGGACCCCACAGAAGAACACGCCTTCTTGAGGAGACCCACAACAGGTGGCAAGTGCAGGGAAGGCCTGTGGGTCCTACTGAACCAGAAGTAAGCCTGCTCCAAGCTCCAGGTCCCAGGGCCCAGGACCAGATTAGAACCCCAAGAGAGATGTGGGCGGCAGCACCACTGAAGCAGCTTTCTGCAGCCTCCAGAGAGCTAAGAGCTGTCCCCTCTTGGAGACCCTGAGCCTCTAGTAAGCAGCACCCAGCCTGGCCCCGTAGCTAAGCTGTTAAGGGAACAAGATCTCACCGAGCTGACCATGGTTCAAATCCTGGCCCTTGTGATTTGAAAAACATGTCAGGCATGTGTGCATGCATGGCCTAAATCCCAACAGAACGAAGAAATGGAAGAGAGAAATGAACACACCCCATAGAGGGCCGCTTCTCTCTCTTTTTCTCTCTGATATTAAAAGCAGAAGGAAGAAACAAGAACAAAAACAGTACCCAAAGCTAAGAATGAGGCCACATGGGGACCAGCAGATGGCATAGCAGTTATGTCTCCAGACTCTCACATAGCCGACTGCAGTTTGAATCCCAGACCTGGTGGCTTCAAACTCACACCGGGCATATGTGCATGCGTGCCCAAGATCCCGGGAGGAGAATGGAGGAGAAGGGATTGTGGCATGGCCATCCCCCCTGGGAGGTGATTTCTCGCTTTCTGTCTCTCTGGCTCTCGGGTGAATGCATGTGCCCTATAGCAAAAATCCCTCCATTTCTGGTGAGCGTACATGGCCTATAGCAAAAACCTCTCAAAAAGAAAACAAACAAACAAACAACCTCTCCAAACACAAAAAAAGAAGAAAAAGAAAAAGGCCACACAAATAATTTTCTCAAGAGGAGTTTTTTGGTTTGTTTTTACTTCTTTGGTTTGAGGAGTTCTTGACTTTTTAAATTCTTTTTTCTTTTCTTAAATAAGTGAAAATTGAAAAAGTTTAGTTGCGTTTGTTCTTATAGGAATAGCCCCAGACTTGACCTTAGCAGACCCAATTTCAAATAGTGGTTGCTTTTACCTGAAAATGATGGCACGAGACAAGGCACCTAGATTGTCTGAATCCCAGTATCCCTCTGTAACGTGGGAATAGTGGGCCTTCCAGCTCGCCCGTGTGCACACCTCTCCCTTCATTCCCACTCTAGAAAGCTCTCGCCCCACCCCCAGGCATGCCACAGGACCCCCATCCCAGCCCCAGCCCCAGTCCTCCTGAAGTACTGCGAGTACTGAGGGCTGCTCATCCACAGCGTTCTCTCACCCCCTGACTCGCACTGGGTACCCAGACCCTAAAGCTGCGATGCCTGAGCCTGAAGCACCCTGCAGGTCCTTCGGCTTCCAGATTCAACTCCCCTCTCCTCGGGTGCTCCAGGTCAGCCCTTCATACAGGACAGGAAAACATGTGGCCCCAGCCTCTCCCATTGCACAGTTCCTGTCCCACCTCCAACCCAGGTCTGCCACAAAACGCTCTCCATCAGAGAAGCAAACACCCTGTAGCCTACCAGCTCAGGCTAAAAAACACCCAAAGCAACCAGTAACCTTCAAGTTCTGCAAACACTTGCCCCTAGTTTGAATCCATCTGGAACATCCTGGTGTTCAAAGATGAAACTGACCTGATACCTCTCCTTATGAAGAATCCAACCTGACAGATAAGATGAGACTAGAATGAGAATATCCTGGAGAAGATATTAAATGCTTTAAGTTAGTGACAATGTGTCATGGGAAGTTAGGGGGAAAAGAAATCACTTTCCACTGGGAAAGTCAGTCAGGAGCCAGCTTTATGGGGAGGTAGTTTCCAGGATGCATTAAAAAAATGAAAGAAAGAAAAAAAAAAAGAGAGAAAAGAAAATGGGGAAGAAGACTCCCCCCCGCAAAAATTACAAAAATAAAAAACCAGAATAGGCAGACATGGGAACTCTTCACAACATGGAAGGTCAATCAGAATTGGCAAATGTGAGGAGCAGGTATTGATTGCCACTTCCTTTCCCATGTTCATGGCAGACATTACTAATAGATCACAGCACTTCCAGGAAGCCAGGTCCCAGCAGCTAGGCAGAGTTGGCACAACCTATGAAACCTCTTTGCTACTCTGTTTGTGGGAGAAAAATGAACCATTGAATGGGATTAGCACAGAGCATCTGAAAGTGAATTTGTAGGAGAGAAAAAGGCAGAGCAGGGTGAGGTTGGACTATGGATGATCATCCAACCCACCAATCATTGCACCTGGGCAATTTCTTCCTTTTGGAAATGACTTGCCTTCTGTCAATGACCTCTAGGAAAAGCTATTGATACATCAGACTAAGTCACACAGAAGTATTATGACTTAGTATTATGGGGACCCTTGGGTATTAACTGGTTTTTCCAAAATGTGATCCATGTCTTTGGGGACTTTGTTAAATGAAGATCCCTGGGCCCTGTCACCAGGGGTTTTTATCCAGCCAAGATGATACAAATTTCACGCTTTTATGTTTTGGGGTTTCGGCTTTGTTTTTTTTGGTTTTTTTTTTTTTTGGTTTTTTTGAGAGATTTTCACTGTAGGGCGCGTGCACTCGCCAGACAGACAGAGAGAGACATAGAGACAGAAAGCGAG